TGCCTGTCATCAAAAAGACAAGCAATTAGGAGAATTGGCAAGGATGTAGAGAAAAGGGAACCTTCTTGTACTGTTGGTGGGAATGAAAACTGGTGCAGCAACTGTGGAAAACAGTGTGGAGGGACCTCAAAAAATGTAAACTAGAACTAACATATGATTACCAGTAATCATATGTTACTGTGGGATTTATCTGAAGGAAACAAAAATTCTAAATCAAAAAGATATCCATGCCTCCATGTTCACTGAAGCATTGTTTAAAATAGCCAAGACATGGAAATAACCTAAGCGTCCATCACTGGACAAATAAATAAATAAAAATACACACACACACACACACACACACATATACATATATTAGGTGCTTGGGTGGCTCTGTCCAGCTTCAGCTCAGGTCATGATCTGATGGTTCGTGAGTTTGAGCCCCATGTCAGGCTCTGTACTGACAGCTCAGAGCCTGGAGCCAGCTTTGGATTCTGTATCTCCCTCTCTCTCTACCCCTTCTCCGCTGGTGCTCTGTCTCTCTTTCTCTCTCAAAAAATAAACAAACATTTAAAAATTTAAAAAAAGAAAAGAAATCCTGACGTGCAACAATATGGATAGATCTTGACAGCATTGTGTTAAGTGAAATAAGTCAGAGAAAGACAAATACTATATGATCTCACTTATATGTGAAATCTAAAAACAACAAAAACAAAAAATGAACTCATAGAACAGATTGGCGGTTGCCAACAGGCGGAGTAGGAGTAAGTAAAATGGCTGAAGGTGATCAAAAGGTACAAACTTCTAATTATAAAATAAGTTATGGGGATGTAATGTATAGCATGATGACTACAGTTAACAATACTGTATTGTATACCTGAAAGTTGCTAAGACAGATCTTACAACTTCTCATCATAAGAAAAAATATCTATTAACTGTGTAGTGATAGAGGTTGACTATTAATTATACTTATTATAGTGACCATTTCACAAAACATACATATATGAAATCATTATGTTGTACACCTGAAAAAAAATCACTGAGAGACTTTTTTTGTATTACTTTATGCAAATAATGTTTGAAAAACTGAATGCAATGGGTAACTTTTCTCTGAAAATAAATTTATCAACTGAGCCTGGAAAAGATTTTTAAAATCCTAAACAAATCTACTCTGTAGAAGAAATAAGGTCATGAAATAGCTACCTGAAAAATAAATCAGGCCCCACAAAGGCATCTTATCATATCTGTAAGGAACAAATTGTTTCAAGCTATTTAAGCTATTCCAGAGAAAAAAGAAAAAGGAAAACTGCCAAGTTACTTTTATAAAGTGGCAATAGAGTCATAATGTAAAATGAATATACACACACTCACACACATACCAGTTATAAATTTAAGTAAAAATCCTAAATAAAATAGCAAGAGTCAAACAGAACACAATAATAACATGATTCAGTAGGTTTTACTCTAAGAATGGAAAGATGGTTTAAAATTGGGTAATCAACAAAGTAACATAACCCATTCTATTAATAAACCCAAAAGTTACATGATCATTTTCCACAGATGCTAGATATCTGATAAGATTCAATATACAATCTTAGCCGGACACCAAAACAAAACTGGAATCAGTCGACACTTCCTTGATACGATAAAAACATTTATCTCACCATCCCCCCACCAAAAAACATATCTATCTCATCCATAAGCTCATAGCTTACTTACCAAGGAAACATGGACGTGTCAGGGACAAGGGACAAGAAAGGATGTACTGGAGGGATGAGCCCAAACAACTAAGAGAAATAAATTAGAAATGTAAGAATTGAAAGGGAAGAGATATAAATAAATGACCTCTATTTGACTTATGATTCTCTTAAAGCTTCCTAGGTCTGCCAACTAGGTATGCAACTTTCCTAGGTATGCAAGTGCCAGAATTCAAGAGAGCATTAGGAAAAGATAATCTAAATAAATACCATTATGTCATCTATGCAAACACCAGTTTATTAAAAATTACAGTAAAAGACTCTATAACAGCAACAAAATGGAAAATGCCCAGGAATTCATAAAAGTGTTTAAAACCAAGCAGAAAAATTTTAAACATTCCTTAAAGACACAAAAATATACTTGATCAAATACCCTGAGGTGACTCATACAGTAGGAAGATGATACCACTCCCAAGGCTGAGGTTACAAAAGGTGAAGTTATATGAACCTTATCTTAGATAAGGAGCCTCCAGAGCTGTGGCTGAGACCTCTGAGAGTTATCCCCATCCCACCCCTGCCGATGCTTGTTTCTGAGGAGTGCCATGGGCCTGATCCTAGTTACGCCAAAAGACATCGAGAATGCCGCAGTCTGGAGCCAACCACTGCTGCAAGAGACAACTACTATTTGCAGAAGCAATGGTGATAGATAAAAATCCAGACCCTCCTGCACCCCTCCCTTCTCCACGAAGGCAGAACCTAACAAGCCAGAGTAGCAGGAACCTGCAGAATGAGGTTTGTAAAACTCAAAACCCAGCATCACAGAGTTTAAGAAGGTAAATTTTTTTTTTTTCTCAGTGGTTTCCATTTTATTTATTTATTTATTTATTTTTTTTTTTTTTACAAATAGTTTATTGTCAAATTAGTTTCTACATAACACTCAGTGCTCATCCCCAAAGTGCCCTCTAAGAAGGTAAATTTTGAGGGGCGCCTGGGAGGCTCAGTCGGTTGAGCGTCGGACTTCAGCTCAGGTCATGATTTTGCCATTCCCGAGTTCGGACCCTGCGTCAGGCTCTGTGCTGACAGCTCAGAGCCTGGAACCTGTTTCAGATTCTCTTGTCTTCCCATCCCCCGCCCCTCCCCCACTCATGCTCTGTCTCTATCTCAAAAAGAAATAAAAACACTTTTTTAAAAAGGTAAATTTTGAGTTGAGAGAGATCAAATAGTCCTTTTGGCTATTTAGTACACACATATGAACTTCTATAAAGTGACAGTAACTATTTTTCAAGGTTCCATCTAATAAGGTGGAATTATCCTTTATACAAATGAAGGCACTTTTCTCCTCTCCCTCAAAAGGGAGAGGCAAAGTCCCAATCGTAATTGTATCTATCTCAGAGTGATGTTAAGACCTTTTCTACTGATATCACAATTCCTTAAGAACTTAATGTTTAAACTACTAAGTCTATTTATGGATTTATTTGTATTAGTAAACTCTTACCCCCATAATGGGGTCCAAACTCATGACCCTGATATCAAGAGCTGCATGCTCTGCTGATAGAGCCAGGCAGGCACCCCTCAACTACACGGTTTATTTTTGGACAGTAAGAGTATTAAGTGGCATCCCCCAGAGAATTCCCTGGGTTCCAAACACAGCCCTCTCTGCACCCATTTTGTAGCAGCAACCAATTTTTCCTTGGCATTTGGAATTAGTTACCTCAGTCAGTTGAGTAACCACTTCTGTGCTTGCTGGTTCAGTAGCCTGAGGAATCCCAAACGGCCGGTGTTCGTCTCATATTCTTAAAAGTCTGTTATGTCCCTTGGTGGAAACACGGCATCTCTGAGGGTCTGTTTCTTTGGAGTCCCCGTGCTACCAAGTACTCATTAGCAACGGTCCAGTGAGAAAAACAGAAACACACTAGGTAGTCCAAAAGAGGTTGTTTACTACAGAGAATTCCTTTCTGAGGTAGTAGAGGACTGGAAGAGCCAGTGTTTAACACTAAATTAATCCAGAGACAACAGTAAGAGACAGCTACCATCTACAGAAAGAGGTGAGGGTATAAGAACCTTGGGAACTTGGCAAAAATGGCCTGAAGAGTCGCTGCTTAGCTTGTGAGGAAAATCACCACTTTCCTGTGAAAGTCAACACAGGCTTTACAGAAGTTGTGATGGTTGAGATAAGTTTTCTGAAGTATGAGTCAAGTTTACTAGGCAATCTATTTAACCCAGACTACTAACAACACATCTACATTTTAATTAGACCTGGTCATTTATAAATAGTTGCAGGGCCTACCACTTTACCACATTAAAATTATTGGTGACTTTGTCACAATGTCAATGCTACAACATGGCCAAAATAAAAGTAGCAAAGATTGAAAGACATCCTTTCCTACTTCTGATATATTGGTTTACAGACAGACACCGTCTGATAGTTTCTTTGACAAGAATAGCATACATTTATCAAGTAAACAGCATACCCACACAGGCATCACCATCTTCTCTGAAGAAACTAATCAGAATCCTTATAAGGGATCAACTTTGCTACTTCACATTATTGCTGAAGCAGGACATTATCATATACTGCAAGGTCTTTGGATCACACCTGGGTGCAATGTCTCCTCTTTCCCTTTTTCTACTGCTGTCCCTATTTTTCTCAGCATACATTTTTTTCCCCTAAAGTTGGGAAAAAGTTATTTGGATACTAAAAGGTAAGTGGGTGGTAGTCAGGAAAAAACACAGGAAAGGGCTCTTTAGAAGCAGAGAAAAATGCTGCAACAAGAATCCGCTGGTATGAGGACCTTATTTTGGGGTTGTAGACAGATTGGAATGCGCATATTGATGCAATAATCCCAAAAAGGGGACTGGGGACTGTTAGGTAAGACTGCAGAGGTCAGGCTGCAAAGCAGCTGGGAGAGCATGTACCCACAGATGTACTTTGAAGTACATTTGTTTCATTAAACAACAAAAGTACAGAAAAGAACAGCTCAGCTTTGGCCAAGTGAAGAACATAAAACCAGAAAGAAACTCAGCTGGAGAGGCAAAGGGGAAGAGGCAGTGAAGTGAAAATAAGGTGAGGATTTTAATTTAAGAAGAAGAAAGAAACCAAAACTAGAGTGAACAGTACTAATACCAAGTCCTCTCAAGTGAATCTGTTGATGCATAGACTGAAAAACCCAGAAAGGGCAAAAATCCAGTGGGGCTCAACATCACGGCCCTGGAGAATAGACTAAAACAGTTTAGGATTCTCAACTCTTTGATGCGCGGGTTCCAAAGACTTAAGATAGAGAAAAATTTAAAGGTGCGGCTGATGCTTGTCCTCTGACTTGACAGGAGATTCAAAGTGCAGAGCAGATGAAAAAGTGGAAAGAGAGGCTTGAGAAAAAGTATTATTCTGCAGAAATTCAAGATGACTACCAGCCTGTCACTCAACAAGAATTTCGAGAGTAAGTATTTGTTCTAAGCAGGGCACTCTGGGATATCATGAAATGGGGACTGGGCACATAAATTACATTATTTTCCTGAAATCAGAACCTTATTCTGAGATGCCACCCCCCTTATGTCATCTTTTCTACTTTTTAAAATTAAACAGAAAGCACAAGACACCATTTGTTTAAATATAAGGTGAGAGTGAGACCAATTGCTTTTATCCTTACATCTCCAAATAGGAACTTCCTTTAATTTTTTTTAAAAAAATTTTTAGTATTTATTCATTTTTGAGAGACAGAGACAAGTACAAGCAGGGGAGGAGCAGAGAGAGAGGGAGACACAGAATTCAAAGCAGGATCCAGGCTCCTAGCTGTCAGCAGAGAGCCTGATGCAGGGCTTGAACTCATGAACCGTGAGATCATGTCCTGAGCCGATGTCGGACACTTAATCGACCGAGCCACGCAGGTGCCTCCCACCTTTATTAATTTTTTTAAACAGGAACTGCCATTTATATTTAATATGCATAGCAGACCCTGTTCTCCACTATTTTAGAATGTAAGATCCATAATTGACCCCATTAGGCATGTTTTAGCTTACAATACTATCTTCCCTCTCCAAGTACTTCACAGTAGGCACTATTAACCTGCTGTCTCTCTATGCACGAAGGCATGTTACTGACCCATTCTCTGCTTCCTTCTAAATTATCCCGCAGACTCTTTTTATATGCGGTGGAGCTGGAGAAAGAATTACACTACGTCAGTTTAAAACTAAACCGAGTGATGAGAAAGATTTCAGCTCTACAATATTGAGACAAGTGCAGGTGAGACGTTATGATACGATCATTGAGCATCTGTAACAAAGATTTATCCCTGTACTGAGTTATTTCCTAAACATGTCCCCATTTCAGGTATACTTTAAAAACACTGTATGACTTATAATCAAGCTATCATTAGAGTCAATGATAATCATGAAAAGATTTCCAGAAATTAAGTGACCCTGAATAGGCCCTACCGTACTATCCAAAACAGCATGCTCCCTGAGTATACACACAATGATACACGTAAATGATAATGAGATTTATTGTTAAACTCTAGGAACATGGAAGTAAAGTACCAAATGCTGCGTATAGTCCATGGGGCAGGTCTCTAATAGGTCATAAGTAGTTTTCTCAATATTACCTAGAGTATAGGAACTGTTGGTGCTTTCATCAGGTATCATGTTCTAACTTGTCCTGGGCATAGATAAATTAATAAATACTCAGAATTCTGGAAAATCATTATATGATGCCAAATAATCTCACCTCCATTCTTCCCAGTTTGAGGTCATCTAGAAAAAGCTAAAGTGTAGAAGAACAAACTTACCAATCATCTACAGAATTTTCACTAATATTTTCAAACAGGAAATTCACCTAGAAAGTTTCTAAAGTAACAGTTAAGTATAACACTTTAATAAAGTTTCCTAAGTATTTCCTCAACTACTCTAAAAGCAAAATATACTGTAAAACAAAGAGCAAGATCAGTGTTACGAGAAGTCAATTTTATGTATGAATGAGGGCACCGCAGAAGTCCTGTCTGGGTGGTTGGACAGTTGTGTGAGGCAAAGTCCTCCTGGAAGAGCCATTATGTTCTCTTGGCCCAAACATCATCATCTGACCATTGTACTCAACTTCCACATTGGTGCTCAATAGATTTTAAATCTACCCACCTTCCTCAGGCCACGCACGCTCTTTTCTTAGAAACTGTACCCTCAAGGGGCGCCTGGGTGGCTTAGTCGGTTAAGCGTCCGACTTTCGCTTAGGTCATGATCTCGCGGTTCGTGGGTTCGAGCCCCGTGTCGGGCTCTGTGCTGACTGCCAGCTCAGAGTCTGGAGCCTGTTTCAGTCTGTGACTCCCTCTCTCTCTGACCCTCCCCTGCTCACACTGTCTCTCTCTCTCTCTCTCTCCTAGAAATAAACAAAACATTTAAAAAAATTAAAAAAAAAAAAAAAGAAACTGTACCCTCAAGTATGCTTAACAGAATGATTCATTCCAACAAGAAATGCTGACTGTTCTCTCTGCATCTTCTAGGCTTCCACAGGGCAGTTAGCAACACAGCCTTCCCTAGTCTTACCACTCCCCAGAGCTGTAGCCAGCCAAGTGGTTTAGTAACCATGTTGTCCCCCTGTGGTCCCTGGATGATGTAATTCAAACAAAGCCCAAGAACAGTAATGCAAGGAAACATTTGATGTCTTGATTTTTTTGTTAACATCTAGTAAAAACAAAATACATTTACAATGACTTAGAACATTCAAGTTCTTTTATTACAAAAGTCTATACAATGAAGTGCCAGACACAGCAATGCAATTATATTGGTGGTCATATATATCTATATATTATTTGTATATAGATATACAGTTTTTACTTGTACCAAAGTAAAACTTATCACAAAGTGCCTAGTTCTACCATGTACTGCTCAACTATGACAACTACTGTCACATAGCCTTAAGTGCTGCCATGCTACTTTTATCTATTCTACTTGCAGCCAAATGTTAACAGTGAATAACCAACACCATGAAGCAGCTATTAATTCTAAAATGAAACCAGTCAGGCCACGGACTTATAAAAATATGGTACTCATATAGATTTAGCATTATAAAGAAGGAATATATTATTTAAAACATTTAAATAGTGCATATGGACATTTTTGCATGTGGTATATAAAACATTCATATAAAACAATAAACAGTGCACATCAAATTAGATGTTTGGATACACTCCTGTCTGGAGACTGAAAGAAATAAATGCACACTGCATGCTAGATTCAAATCAAAGTGATGCTTGTTTTGGCATTTTCAATCTCATTTTTCTAGGTATACGTTATGAACAACCTAGGCATATCAAAAGGAAACCACACAAAAAGGGCTGGATTTAGCGCTTTATTCCTCAAAACTACATGTTCACCGCCAACGAACATTCCCTCCCCCCCAAAAAGGCATTGCACACATAGGTGAAATGTGAAACACTAGAAACACTACTTATTATCAAGCTACTTCATGTGCTTACTATGTAATAGTGCCGCAAGTCAGAGGTTCGTGCTTCCCTCACTTTTATTAAAGAATGTTGCAGAAGTCCATCTTTACATGGAACTGTCAATATTAGCTAGTTAAGAAAATCATGCATGAGTCAATGCATGCAAAACATGGGCACAAAGTGAGACACTCATCAATCCAAAAAAGCACCAAGAAAAAAATTAACACTTAGATTAAGCCTGACCAGAATATGCTGTTACTACTGTTAGCCCAAATAAAGTCATCATTCTGTGAAATGAGCAGAATGATACCAGAAGAGTACTTGAAGGAAAGCCATGCAAAGCCAAAGAACAAAAGATCAGCTTAGAGTATATGACAAGGGGCATACCACTAGACATCTTTGAACACCACTACATGGTTGCTTTAAACAGGATGTGAATGAGCAAAAGTGGTCCTGTTAGAGGATGTTTTCTTCATGGATTCTGCTGTTTGAGAAAAAAATAATGCGACACCCTGAAGGTACATGTAATAAAAATGCAGTGGTATAGCCCTTGTTAAGAACACATTTGATTCAGGCATAATGACTCTTTTACCAACTTAGGCCCATCTGATTGAACACACAAAGCTGAGCACCATCAGGGTTCCTACATAGACATGGCTATTTTCTCACATTATCTGGAGGTGGGTGGGGGAAAAAATACAGGATGTGATGCAGACAAATCACATCATCACCAGCTAATAAAGAGTAACTGAGGAAACAAACAGTAATTTATGTCCCATAGGCAACATGTGAAATGATTCAGTTTCTGTGTGTGATGTGTGGTGTGTATGTTCACTATACTAAGAAACAAGGTCACTTTTTGGTCTACCCTCTGTTATCTTCATCCAGGAGCTGAGTGACCACTGAATTGCAAAATTTTGCTAACATATTACCTGTGAGAAAGTGTCACTTTGGAAATTAAACAGAAATGTGTTCCATAGAAGGACTTGAAATTTCAGTTGAGTTTGGTTTTCTAAGAAAACAAAGGACACAGTTGCATATGTGCACATTTATAGGCTTTTTTTTTTTTTTTCAAATTTTCAGTCATTCTGTAAGAAAAAGGCAACCGAAGAATCAATGTGAAGATGTTCCTCTCAATTTTCTTCAGTAATTAAAAAAATAATAATAATAATAAAGTTGGTAACAACAAAAAGCTTGTATCTCCAAAGTTCTTGAAGTTGAAAGAATAAAGTACTAGTCTTTTGCTAACAGGATATATCTGTAGTACAAAACAATGAAGAAAACTGATGTTTGCTAACGGTGGAGAGGACAGTCTGTGGTTAATATGGAAAACCACGCTCCCTACAGAGGGTCTACTTACCCTCCCATCATTCTCTAGTGGCACCAAAACCAAGTACAAAGTGATACTTTCTGAGTGCCTGACAAAATGAACTCAAGTATCAGCCAAGTACACACGATGACAGCTTCAGGGAATACAACTGATTTTTATGATGTTTTCAAGGAGCATATTTTATATGGATTTTGAAGAATCTTGTTTGCTGATAAGCACTTCAAGAAGCCTAAGTTTGGCTTTAATTTTCTTGTACTCCCTGTACTCCTCAAGCACTGGAACACGATCCTCTTTCTGGGCGTTCCTAGGGAAAAAAATAAAATATGTAATATTCTGGAGATTATCTGAAAAATAAAGTCCCAGAAGTTGTTCTAATGTGAGACACGATGTTATCAAATATAAATACAAATAAAAAACTGCTCTTGCAAGAAAAAAGACTACTGGACTAATTCCCCCATCCCCGAGGAACATTCCTAAAATACTGCTATGTTTGATGAATTTCTCTATTGACAGATTCAATGATGCTATACTTTATCAATGATCATTGCAGAGAACTAGGAAGTAGCCAAATACTTGTTTTCTCACTGTATATTGATGACCCAATGCAATTCAGTTTTATCTCTAGGTAAAGCATCTAAGTATAATTATAAGCAAAGTTTTCTTCCATTAAGAGGAAGAATAAGAAGGCACATGAAAAAATGCATTCTTATAGTTTTTTTTTTTTAACCATTTTTGCCAATTACTTAGATGATTCTTAAAGTAAACACAGTTTGGAATTTGTAATATACCAACTGGCTTGGTAAGACCACTCAGTTACATACATGGAAAAACTTTTCTGAGGTCTGAGACAACCCTCATTTCTGGCCACCATCTGAACTAGAATGTATTTTTCTTATTTTAAAGAGTTCCAATGAGTCACCTGTGGCCCAGTTAGATAAAAACACACGCTATACTGTATTCTAGGAGCCACACTATTGACTGGCACCCTGTTGCACAACCTGGAAATGGGAAGCCTGGAATGGCCCAACATGCAGCCTAAGCAGCCATGGTCTTATTAGTGTAGGGGTCCACACTAGCTGAGAATGCCATTCATGTTATAGGACCCTTTCTAAAAGGAAAAACGTTTTGTTTCACAAACACTGACAAAAAGGGCAAGGATGTAGAATTAAAAACACAATATAACTGCCACTCAACCAAGCTTGCCTCAGACAACTGTGAAATATTTTGTCAAATACTGTTCTGTCTAGCTCTTTTTCTTTCCATTAATAGCAGGACTTCCAAGTAAAAAGGAATGTTTTCTACTTTTATTTTCAATGGTAACATCCTTACGTGCACAATTTATTTCTATTCCTATACATTCCTTTAATTTACATATGAGCGCTTATAAGTTTAAGGAGAAGGAAGACTCAATTTTGTGATGTTCAACAAACCTTCCATTCTGTTGATAAAATGCTTCTTCAAATTCCCGTAACGTTTTACGTAGTTTCTTCTTTTCAGCTCTGGCTTTCCAAAGTTGTTCAAGTAATTCAGGCCTGAAATTTAAATGGAAAGAAAACATTACTGCAAGAGCATTGTGACTCTCTACAGGGGTTCAAACCCTGGCTGCAAACTAAAGTCAGCTAAGGAACACTTAGAATATAACAATGCCTAAGCTATAGCCCAGAGCAGCTAAATGGGAATAGCTGCAGGTAGGGCTCTGCATCAATATTTTATTTTTTAATGTTTATTTCTTTACTTTGAGAGAGAGAGCGAGAGCGAGAGCGAGAGAGAGAGGGAGAGAGAGAATATCCAAGCAGGCTCTGTGCTGTCAGTGTAGAGCCCAATGTGGGGCTCAATCCCACAAACTGTGAGATCATGACCTGAGCCGAAATCAACAGTGGGACCCTTAATTGACTGAGTCGTATTTAATTTAATACATTAGTATTTAAAAAAAAAATTGGGGGGCACCTAGGTGGCTCAGTCGGTTAAGCATCCAACTTCTGCTCAGATCATGATCTCACGGTTTGTGTGTTCGAGCCCCGTGTTGGGCTCTGTGCTGAATGGCAGCTCAGAGCCTAGAGCCTCCTTCAGATTCTGTATCTCCCTCTCTGTCGGACCCTCCCCTGCTCATACTATATATCTCTCTCTCAGAAACAAATAAAAACATTTAAAAAAAAATTTTTTTTTAAATCTTTTCTCGAGGTGATCTTAAAGAGAAGCCACTCCTACTGTGGAAAACAATACGGAGATTGCTCAAAAAAATTAAAAAAAGAAGTTACCATATGATCGAGTAATTCCACTACTGGGTATTTGTCAAAAGAAAACAAAAACATTAATATGAAAACATAAATGCAGCCTTATGTTTTCTGCACTATTAATTACAATAGCCAAGATATGGAAGCAATCCAAGTTTCCCATCAGTAGAGGAATGGATAAAGATGATGTGGTGTACATAAATACACACACAATATGGAATATTACTTGGCCATAAAAAGGAGATTTTGCCATTTGCAACAACATGGATGAAACTAATGGGTATAATGCTAAATGAATTAAGTCAGAGAGACGAAGACAAATCCTCTATGATTTACTTATATGTGGAATCTAAAAAAAAAAAAAAAAAAAAAAAAGAACAGGGGTGCCTGGGTGGNCTAAAAAAAAAAAAAAAAAAAAAAAAGAACAGGGGTGCCTGGGTGGCTCAGTCAGTTAAGTGTCCAACTTCAGCTCAGGTCATGATCTCACAGTTTGTGAGTTCAAGCCCCACATGGAGCTCTGTGTTGCCTGCACGGAGCCAGGAGCCTGCTTCGGAGTCTCTCTCTGCTCCCTCCCACTCACACGCTCACTCTCAAAAATAAATAAACATGAAAAAGATTTTTAAAAATTAAAAAACAAAATGAACAAATAATAAAAGTCTCATTAATACAGAGAACAAACTGGGTGGCTGTGATGGAGGGAGCACGGTGGGGATACAGGTAAAATAGGTGAAGAGAAGTTTAATGAGGCAAACTTCCAGTTGTAAAATATGTCACAGCAATAAAAAGTATAGCCCAGGGAATATAGTCAATAATACTATGAGCATCGAGTAACATGTACAACTGTCAAATCAATATGCTGTATACCTACCTGAAACTAATATAACATGTTAGTTATACTTCAATTAAAAAAAAAAAAAAGTGAAGCCAGGGCTGAAAAGCACCGTTATACACTGTATCAGGGAAGAAGCTGACAGAGAAGGAACCAAACTCTCAGCTGATTTCTGCACTGTTATGAAGCAAATGTAGGATTTTAGTTTCTTTAGTTTTTAAAACACACTAATCTGTAATAAACAAAATGTGAATGACAACATGGATTTTTAAATCACTCTAAAAAGGGTCTGTCTCTTGAGCACTACATTAATTCCCTCCAACTGCTTGTTTATTCAACATTTACACTAGCATGTAAATTTTATTACATAAATAGGTTAAAATCACAAACCCGCAAACATACATAGAAGCTGCTCGAGTACTTGACAATCGGAGATCCAGAGCCAGTTTTTCTTGATTTTCTTCAATATCAGATTCAGAGTTTTCCAATGAAGACTGTGCCTGTACAGCAGTTTTCAAGATATCAGTTAGCTCAGAGGACAGAGCAACACCATCTTCCTCTTCTTCCTAAAAAGTTATCAAACAGGTAATCAAACAGGCCATGACTCTCAACTTTTTCTTTAAGAAGAATGAATTCTCTTAAGGATTACCTTGATTTCTTCAAAAAAATGGGCAGTTTCTCCTTCTATGATTGGTTGTAACATCTGACCCCTTCGCTTGGTAGATGGAGATCCCTTTAACAATCAAGATAATAAATGGTTTAAATATTTAAAGCATTCAAGGAAGCTTCATTCATTATGAAACAGATATTCAACTTTATCTTCAAAATCTTCATCATATGAAATAAACTTTTTAGGAATTCCTTAGTAAATTTCCTTATGGTTATGTTTTCTTGTTATGTATGCACAAGAGTGCTAAATGATCGTTTATGTCTGGATATTCTAAAAGGGCTCACTCAAATATTTTTTAAAAAAGAAAGTATTACATGCAATTTTATTTGAAGCACTTGCCTTTTTAACAATAGCTGTCAACTTTTTGGTCTTAGGACCTTTAAATTCCTTTTTAAAAAATTAACAGCTTCATTCAGATATAATCCACATACCATAAAATTCACTCCCTTAAAGTGTACAATTTAGGGGTTTTTAGTATATTCACAAAGTTGTGCAACTATCAACACTAATTCCAGAATAGTTCATCACCTCAAAAAGAAACTTTGTACCTATTAGCTATTAACCCATTGGCCTTCTCCCCCTACCTTGGCAAACACTAATCTACTTTGTCTCTATGGGCTGGCCTATTCTAGGTATTTCACATAGATGGAATCATGTAATATGTGTCCTTCTCTATTTGGCTTCTCTCACTTAGCGTAATGTTTTCAAGGTTTACCCATGCTGTAGCATGTATCAGTACTTTCATTTTCCCTTTTAATGGCTAACATTCCATTATATGGATATACCACAATATGTTTATCTATCAGGTGCTGTACATATGGATTTTTCCTACATTTTAGCCATTATGAATGGTGCTGTCTGAACATTTGTGTACAAGTTTTCGTGCAGACACATTTTCAATTCTCTAAGGCATATACCTAGAAGGAGAACTGCTACGTCAGATGGTAACTCTGTTTAACCTTTTGAGGAACAGCCAAACTAGTTATCAAAGTGGCTCACCATTTAACATTTCATCAGGAGTGTGTAAGCATTTCAATTACTCCACATCCTTGTCAATATAGTTATCTTTTCT